GGATTCAATGTGAGAGTATTTTTTTAAATTTATAGTTGTAGATGTTTATTAGCTTATTATTTGCTTATTTTTATGTGGTGCTAAGGATCAAACCCAAATGCCTTACATATACTAGGTAATCACTCTGCCACTGGGCTACAGCCCCAGGCCCCAATTGGAGAGTATTTTGTTGAGAATTTTTGCATCTATATCCACCAGAGATATTGGTCTGTAGTTTTCTTTTTTATTGTATGCTTATTTGGTTTTGGTATCAGGGTGATTGATTTTGGCCTTAAGAATAAGTTTGTTAGTATTCCTTCCATTTTAATACTTTGGAATAGTTTGAGAATGATTTTTTTTTTCTTTTTTGATATTGGGGGTTGAACCCAGAGTTTCTTGATCACTGAGCTATATTCCAAGCCCTTTTTTTTAAAAAAAATATTTAGAGACAGTGTCTTGCTGAGCTGCTTAGTGCCTCATTAAGTTGCTGAGGCTGAGTTTTAACTTGCAATCCTCCTGCCTCAGCCTCCTGAGCCACTGGGATTACAGGCATTCACTACTGTGCCTAGCTGAAAATAATTTTTTAATTTTTTATTTCTTCATTGACACATTGGTTGTTCCAGAGCATGTTGTTCAATTTCTATGCATTGGTACAATTTCTAAATTAACTCTTGCTGTTTGTTTTATTGTAGTCAGTAAGATGCATGTTATGATTTCAATTTTTGGAGACTTTTTGTGTTTTATCCTGGACAGTGTTCCCTGTCCTGATGAGAAGAATATGTAGTCTATAGCTGTTGGATAAAATGTTCTAAAGGTCTGTTAGATCCACTTCCTCTGTTGTATAGTTTAAGTCTGATATTTGCTGTTCTTATTGGTGTATTATAATTATATATAATAGTGGAGATCATTATGCCTTTGTTGAGTTTTTGTCTGAGTGACCTATCCACTGATGGAAGTGGAGTGTTGAAATTCCCAACTATTACTGTATCAGAATCTTTCCTTTTGGATCTAATAATGTTTGCTTTTTTTTTTTCTTGGAGTTACTGGGAAATGAGCCCAGGGGTGCTCTACCACTGAAATATACCCTCTCTGTTTTTCACTTTTTATTTTGAGACAAGGTTTTGCTTCAAACTTGTGATCATCCTGCCTCAGCCTCCCCAGTCATTGGGATTACTAGGCATGGTAATGCCATCATACCAGGCATGACATTTGCTTTATATAATTGGGTGCTCTAGTGTTGGGTAACTTTTTTTGTACCTTTTTAGTTTTTTGATTTAAGGTCTATTTTATCTAATGTAAGTATAACAATTCCAGCTTGCTTTAGAATTCCCTTTGCATGGTGTATCTTTTTTTTTTTTATATCTTCACTCCTTCAGTCTATATGTGTCTTTACTGATGATGTGAATTTGTTGTAAGCAAGAATTTTTTTTAAATCCATAAGCTAATTTATATATTTTAATTGAGGAATTTAATCTTTACATTCAACTTTACTGATGATAAATAGAGACATATTCTTGTTATTCTGTCAATATTTTTCTGGTTGTTTTGCATATTCTTTCTTTCTTGTTCATCTTTATACTTTGGGTTTTTTTTTGTTTTGTTTTTGTATCGGTACGGGATGATTCTCTCTCTTTTGTGTATCTACTTTACTATTGAGTTTTGTAATTTGTGTATGTGTTCATGCTGATAATTGTCAGGGTGTGTTGCCCAGGTCCTCCCAGGCTGTGGAAAAGTGGGTGGAGCCTTATGCTTGGTTCACAGGGCTGAGTTGGAGTAACTGCTGTGGGAGCTTCCTGGCTTCTTCACATGACGGTAGGCAGGCAAACTCAAGATGGTGCCATGTAGCAGGAGCCTATGTGGGGGCGGGTGCAACATGCCCTCTTTCTCTAGGGCTTCAGTGATGTGGTATTCCCTCAGCTCACCAAACTGAGTTTAGAATCTTCAGGGGCCTCAGAAATCTTCAGTAGAAAATGCCTCAGGTGTTTGTCTGTGGCATGAGCAGATATTGCTGGGAGCATTCTCTTTACTCTCTCTCTGCCATGTGAAGTCCCTCTTGATTTGGAGTTGATTCTGTGTACTTGTACCTATTCTTTAGAAGGTCATTATATATCTCCATGCTCTGCAATATCTCTGCCACATCTTCACTGTACTTCAATTGCTCTTACTTAAACATCCCAGTAAAATAGCTGTTATTTTTTCTTTGTTTTGGTCCTTGTTGTGGAGTTAAGTACACTAGGCACCTCTAGACAGCAATATTGCTTCTCTTATAAAATTTAAGTGGTTTCTCCTAAAAGGTTGTGAAAGTGAAGGGATTCCAGATAGGTTATGGTGGCTAAATTGTAGTAGTATTAATATTTATTTATTTATTTTAAAAATATTTTTTAATTGTAGATGGACACAATACATTTCTTTATTTATCTTTATGTGGCGCTGAGGATCGGACCCAGGGCTTCACACATGCTAGGCAAGTGTTCTACCACTGAGCCACAACTCCAGCCCCAGAATTAATATTTATAATGTAAAAATGAATGTACTTTAGTTTCTGTCCCGAGCTTATTTACAGTATTTTTTTTTTTTTTGTACCAGGGATTAAACTGAGGGGCACTTAACTACTGAGACACATCCTCAGCCCTTTTTAATTTTTTTATTCTGTAACAGAGTCTTGCTGAGTTCTTAGTGCCTAGCTAAGTTGTTGAGGCTGGCTTTGAACTCACAATCCTCCTGATTCAGCCTCCTGAGCCTCTGAGATTACAGGTGTGTGCCACCACGCCCATCTTATTTACAATATTAACAGGCCTTTTAGACAATAATCATTTGGTTGGTATCTCACTAAAACAGTGACAGATTTTGCATAAATTATTTAGCAACTTTTTGGTATGTGGAACTGGCTGGGGGTGGGATGGCAGAAGGAACTGGCTTTGATTTGGGGATATTTTAAATTTAGAAACAGTCTTCTCTTCGAAGGTTGTAGAGTGGTAAGGATAAAACACTATGGACTTAATACATTGTCTAACAAGTCTGTCAGCCGTTAGTTAACTCTATGACTCCTGAACTTCAATTCTCAGTTCCATGTTGTAAAACTAAGTTTGTGACACTGATTTTATTCACTTCTCCTTGTTTTTCTTTGGGAATGGACTAAAAAAGTTCTAAAATAACCTTGAGAATAGTCCTGTTTCTGTTGCTTTATTTCTAATACACTTTGTGATTTGACTTTAAGTTCATTTAATATATTGATGTAGTGAGTGTTTGATCTAAGTTTACCTTAGAAAACTGATTGATGTAATGATGATTTGAATGTCTTTCTTTTTATGTACATACATTTTCTTTTCAGTATTCAACTAGGGGTTTGAAATTTAACTTCTTCTTTTCTTAACTGTTCTAGTATCATAAATTCCTTTGTTATTTTTCTTTTCTTATTGGACTTGTGGCTGTGATCATATCAAAGCTTTCCATGAGATATTGGACATAATCAGATGAATTCTTCTGTAAGTAAAAATGTACATATTTGATAGAACAAATACTTGAGTGTGTACTCTGCCCAGTTCTCAGTGTTATATTTCTACTTAGAATATACTTGAATATAACATTTTTAATGCCTAGTAATTGTGTTTATGATACCAAATCAGCAAGTATAGAATTGTGTAGGTTAAACTTAAAAGGACAGTAAGTTTATTAGAGGATTCTTTGTTATCAACTGTGGTTGTATGTTTAATGTGCTTCTGAACTATAAAAATATCGTTATCAAAAAACCTCATTGGTCAGGTGCAGTGGCTTACACCTGTAATACCAGCGGCTTGGGAGGCTGAGGCAGGAGTACCACAAGTTCAAAGCCAGCCTCAGCAATTTAGTGAGACCCTAAGCAACTCAGTGAGACTTGTCTCAAAATAAAATACAAAAAAGGGCTGGGGATGTGGCTCAGTGGTTAAGTGCCCTTGGGTTCAATCCTAGTATGTGTGTGTATGTGTGTATGTGTGTGTGTGTATATATATATATATATATATATATATATATATAT